AACAGCAACAATCGAGGTGCATTGAAAGTGTATTTATGAGGTTTGTTGGAGGCGGCGAAACGAGGCCATTGAAACTGACTGTGTGGAGTGGTTCCCGCCGTAAACCCATATTTGATCACTCTTTGTTTTTCTTTTACATTCATTGATTCGATTCATTCATTCGTTCCATTTGTTCCAATTTTTGATAATCATGTTCATGTTCCTTACTTTCCATCTTCATATCACGTGCACGCAACCACAGTAGCTTAACTATCAAGCCCACTTCACAGTAGCTTAACCATATCAACCTCATTCTTCATAATTCCATTGCAGTGCGCATCTGAATGCTTCCCTGAATCAATGTCTGCAAACGTAAACTACGGCATGCCCCTCACTCACCCTCACTGGTTCTCATCAAAATCTGGAATTTACCATAGCAAGCATGCCCCTGTTGACCTTCCCAGCGACCCTTTTCTTGATGCTGTCTCCTTCATTTTTTCCCACCGCCATGATGGGGTGTCGGCCCTCGTTGATTCTTCATCTGGGTGTTCCATTTCCTACTCAAAGTTGCTACCTTTGGTCAAATCCGTTGCCTGTGGTCTTCACAAAATGGGTGTTTCGCAAGGTGATGTGGTTCTGATTCTTCTTCCAAATTCCATTTACTATCCCATTGTGTTCTTAGGCGTTCTCTATCTAGGAGCTATTGTCACACCATTGAACCCTCTTAGCAGTGTCCATGAAATACGCAGACATGTTGCTGAGTGTGGTGTGAGTTTGGCTTTTACTGTGCCTGAAAATTTTAAGAAACTAGAGCCATTGGGAATTTCTGTTATTGCTGTGCCAGAAAATGAGAAGGGTTTGAGACATGGTTGTTTTTCATGCTTTTGTTACTTGATTTCTTGTGACTTCGATTTGCCTCAGAGGCCTGTTATCAAGCAGGATGACACTGCTGGGATATTGTATTCTTCGGGTACTACTGGGGTGAGCAAAGGGGTTGTTCTGTCCCATAAAAATCTTATTGCTATGGTTGAGCTTTTTGTGAGGTTTGAAGCTTCTCAATATGAATGCTCTTGCTTGAGGAATGTGTATCTGGCTGTTTTGCCAATGTTCCATGTGTATGGCTTGTCGCTTTTTGCTGTGGGATTGTTGTCTTTGGGTTCTACTGTCGTTGTGATGAGGAAATTTGACACAGATGAGGTTGTCAGGGTGATTGATGAATATAAAGTTACCCACTTTCCTGTTGTTCCGCCGATGTTGACAGCATTGATAACGAGGGCAAATGGTGTTAATGACTGTAAGTTGCAGAGTTTGATACAGGTCTCCTGTGGTGCAGCGCCTTTGAGCTCAGGAGTTGTTGATGATTTTCTCCGAACTTTTCCCGATGTTGATTTCATACAGGTGATTCAAAGAATGCAAGTCATGTGCCAGCATTCATATAATTGCTAGAGTCAATTCCAAATAAGTGTGTGTTGTGATAAGCTGAATTCTGATTCCATCTCATTTCATATTGTTATGATAAATTGTGGTAAAGGAAATGGAACACTGGAAATTCTTTAAAAAACTTGTACAGTTTAGTTTGAAAGAGATACACGCAAGAAGCCATGTAAAATGTAAACTCCCCCTTCTTTCTTCTTACGTTATGAGCTTTCGACTTTTGTGTAACAGCATATAATAAATACTCTGATAGTGCTGTTAATATTCACATCAACTTCTGCTGATAATTGGACTTTTATTTCTTTATGATAATGTTGTTTCGCTAGATTTTTAAGAATGTGCAACTGTAAGAATGTTTCTTTTTAGGGTTATGGAATGACTGAGTCAACAGCCGTAGGAACACGTGGCTTCAATACTGAAAAGTTTCGAAATTATTCCTCAATAGGGTTATTGGCTCCAAACATGGAGGCAAAAGTGGTAGACTGGAATACTGGTGCATTTTTGCCCCCTGGCAGCAGTGGTGAACTTTGGTTGAGAGGGCCTTCAATTATGACGGGTAAAACTCTGTTTTCCTTAATTGATTGATATGAAATAGAAAGAAATCACCTTATTCCGTTTTTACCATGTATAAATATTTGGCAATGCTTATTGAATATCGCAGTTTATTATATTTCATATACACCAAAAATCGGCTTAGAAGCTCCATTTATGTTTAGTATTCTTCCAGTTAGTGATATTATAAGTTATCTGTTAGAGTGTGTGTAACAAAGTTACATTCTGGTAGCTAAGGATTGAGATACTGTTGTCAACAAATTAACATGACTTGTAGGAAATAATTGAGTTAGAGTTGTAGTTATGAGTGCTACATGTGGTTTAATGAGAGGAATAGTGATTGATATAGCAACTCAAAGACATTTTTCATGCCACTTGATAATTTAGGTTGTGCAGATACTCATAAATATGTGTATACCCCTTGAAACAGAATAGAAGTATTAGATTGTTTAGCTACTTATCATCATGGAGGAAACATGAGCTCTATATTTATTGCTGTGTTGAACAACTTTTTACTCTGAAATAGCTGCTTATTTTTATAAGCTTTATTGAAAATTATGAAAATAAGTGATTCTGTCTTCAAAATAACTTGAACCAAATACACATGTCTTTCCCAGTAAAATGTTGCCGGAAGTTTTCTGTTTGTTCAGGTAAAAGTGAATTAAAATTTCACTTCAAGCCGTCTGGTAAAGTTTGTCGTTGTGACTTCTTGTTTGTGATTTTCCAATGTTAGAGTTGTTTTCTCGTGTGTTCCTTTGTTGTTCCTAAATCCAATCAAGTTAAGTCTATCTGCTAATACTTTTTTCTTTGCCTATTTTATTGATACTTCACTTGAAATACATTAATTTGAAATTTTCTTCTTAATTTCTCAGGGTACTTGAATAATGAGGAAGCTACAATGTCCACAATTGATAGAGATGATTGGCTACATACTGGAGATGTTGTTTATTTTGATAATGATGGATACTTATACATAGCTGATCGATTGAAAGATATCATCAAATACAAGGGCTTTCAGGTATCTAATTTTAAATTTTAACAGAAAAGCAAAAATAATTTCCTTAATAAAGAACAGTCTTTTCTCAAGCTTCCATACAAATATGTAACTTTTCCTTGATACAGCTTAGTTGGTTGAATAGTATGACATGCAGATGTTGTTCAGAGGAACACATGAAATGCTTATTGAGTTTCCAAAATTTAATCCAGATCAGCTTAGAATGACATAAAATATGTAGTAAAAAAAAAATAAAAACAGTGTTTTGGAAATTGTGGATTTTGATATATATTCTCAGATGAAACTGCTAAGCTTGTTGTAGAGTTTTGAGATTCCAGTTTTAGAAAAATATAATTTTTGGGAGGTAGGATTGTATTTTCCCCAAACAACTTTTTATATTGCTCAATTTTCAATCGAAGGGAGGGTTTTTTCTTTTTTAATTTCTTCATTACAATTTTTGTGTTGTACGTGTATATTCTTACATATGGCTTATGATCTGTTACAGATTGCTCCTGCTGATTTAGAAGCTGTGTTAATTTCGCATCCTGAAATAGTTGATGTTGCTGTTATAGGGTAAGTATGAACTCCATGAAACACAAACACTGGATATAGCAAAAGGCCTAAAATGATAATTAAGACTTATATATGTACCTATTCTTGTATAATTCATCTTATAATAATGAGATGAAACACAAACACTGGATATAGCAGATGTACATCGTTTATTGGCTTTATTTGTGTTTTTTAAAAGATCAAAACATCTACATATGTCACTGCATGTAAATATTAGTCATCATACTCTAAATTCTCTTAGCTGGCCCTAAAGATATACCCTGAAATGTTGCATCATTTTCCACTTCAGTGCTACGGATGAAGAAACTGGTGAGATTCCAGTGGCATTTGTGGTAACAAAGGTTGGAAGTGTGCTGTCTCCGAAGCATGTTATGGATTATGCTGCTGAGCAGGTTCGTCCTGATAAGACAGACTTTTTAGTTCTATCTATGATATTTTAATTCACATTTTCTCTTGAATCAATACCATAGTGTCTTTTGAAATGTTTTCACATTTATGATCATGGTCAAGGTGTTACATTAGCTAGCTACTATTTTAAGTGCTTAATGGTCATGCACTGATAATATAAAAGGTTTTACATTTGTCAAAATTTTTAAGATTGTAATCTTAAGGATCACCAAACTTATCATACATTTTGGTTTGAGATTTGACGATAATATAAAATTGTGCACATTTTTGTTACGTTATTGTTAGCTACTAAGACCTTGTGCCATTTGTAACTCTTTTGTGGCAGGTTGCTCCATATAAGAAGATTAGGAAAGTGTTCTTCACCAACAAGATACCAAGGTCTGCGACTGGCAAGATCCTAAGAAAGCAACTGAGGAATTGCTTGACTTCTAAACTATGATAATGCATTTTCTCAAGACTCGCATCAAGTGTTACATTGAAAAATTACCGAGGAAAATTTCGGAAAGTGGATCATCTTAACATAGAAAAAAGTGAATGTAATAAAATATAACCATTCATGAGGGCTAGTAAAGTATTGAAGAACATTATGTCGTAATATCACATTACCAAAAAATTCTACCATGCATATCTTTTAGTAAAATGATACTTGCATACTGAATTTTTTTGGTCTTACTAGTGATCGTTGTATTCTATTTTCAATCAATAGTCACATTGATTCAAGAAGAATCGAATGATTACATTGCTTTTGACAAAAATAGAGGGACCTAACATCACGTGACATAGGAGATAGGATGTTATTAACTCGGTCTTTTGTAACGAAAGGAAAATATCTCGCACCGTTGATCACGAATATTTTGCATTCTTTGGAAATTAATCTGAGTAATTTATTGTGTTAAGACTAAGAATATTGATTTAACATCGTATGCAATTAAAATATATAAAACTAAAGGAAGCCTTATGGTATATATTTTAAAGTAGAATGATACCCATGCCAGTACAGCATGTTAGATAAAGTGACATACAAACACGTATGGAATTTGTACATCTGTATTTTGTCTTTTTTCTGTGATCGGTCTCCATTTATTGCCCTCCGAAACATAGTAAGGTAACGATTACTTTGCAGTTTGGTCATTCAATCCCAGGTATTGGGTTCACTTAATGGTTGTTAGCTAATAATGGGTACCCCAGAAAGTTGCAAAAGTGAAGAACTTTGCACAGAGCTACTCCAATCCCAAACTGGGGTCACTTCCATTTCCACTGAGTCTGTCACCCAAACTTTGCGTCTTCGAGTGTTTGGGGTGCTGCATTGGGTTGTTTCCCTTGGCCTCATTCTGGCCACTGACTTTCTCTTGAAAAAAGCCTTTGCAGCAGCTTCAATTGAGTTCCCAAGTGCCTTGTTTGGGATGTTCTGTATTTTCTCTGTTCTGATTATTCTTGATTATGCTGTGCCCTCTGCTGCTGTGGCCTTCGAGAAGTTCTTCGAACCGGGAATTGTTTTCATCCAGAGATGGCTCCCTTTGTTCTATGTTCCCTATTTGGTTGTGCTTCCCCTTTCTCTTAAAGAGATTCCCGCTTCTTCTGCAATCAAAATCTGCCTTATTGTAGGTATTGATTACTGGACAAGCTCTTATTCTTATGATCGTGATGCTGATTAGTGATGATGATTGTTTCAATCATCCTTACAACGATGACGGTCTGTGTATGTGTAATTAATATCTTATTTGGAAAATTTTCTCACGAGTACTAAGGATAGATAGAAATTAAGTTAATTGCAGAAGTTGATTTTTAAAACAATTCATTGTCTTCTTAATGGTTTCACCTGTAAGTGTTCATAGAGTAGTTTATGTAAATAGAGTCTAAATGTTACGATTTGATGATGAGAGTTGAGACTTGTTGAACTTGTGCAGTTGGAGGATGGCTAGCTACACTTTGTGTAACTGGTTTGACAGCTATAGGTGTGAGGAAAGCTGTGAAGACAGAATTGTTAGATGCTGAGCCTATGGAGAAGCCATCTCCATTTTCTTCCATTGAAGTGTGTGCATGGACTGGGGTTCTTCTTATATCCTTTGCTGCTTCATTGGTTTTTCCAACAGCATTGGGGACAAGAGCCAGAACATATCTTCCATTCTTGCTTGCGTCAACAGTTTTAGGCTACATGATTGGTTCAGGGTAAAGGTTCCTTTTCATCACTGCATATACATTGAACTCTTTACACGGCTGGTTCTGGGGAGAGTTACTTTTTCTTTCTTTGTTTATGATTTAAATGGAGCAAAAATGTGATATTGTCATGCATTTTATTAGAACTAACTATAATTATGCCTTTTCTTATCCCCTCCCTTTGTTTTCAGATTGCCATCAAGCTTGAAGAAGGTCTTCCACCCAATAATTTTTTGTGCAGCATCTGCAGAGCTAGCAGCAATTGCTTTGGGGTTTCTTTCTAAGTCAGGGCTTGATGCTGTTTTAGGTGTAAATTATAGTTGAAGTTAATATTCTACGATTTAGCTTTGACATAATTTTACTGATTCTTCTTTTGACATTCCCAGGATATTATTTTACAAACTCATCATCTAATCCGGGTGCCGGTGACATTCTAATGGGATTTTTGGGATCTGTTATTCTCTCATTTGCCTTCGCTATGTTCAAACAAAAAAAGGTAATAACCATCTCCATTTCTAATGACCTCTAGTGTTTGGATGGTGTGAAAGAAAGTGAAGGAGTGGAAAATGCTAGAAAGGAAGAGAATTAGAGTGGAGAGTGAGGTTGTTTGAATGAATTGAAAGATAGCAGAAAATAAGATAACTTTATTTGTTGTTAATAATTTTATTTATCATTGTTAATGTAATTTTTAATTATTTATTATTATAATCATAGAAGAAACAAACAAGTAACAAAAGAAAAAACTATAATCTATTATGGTGACCCATTTGTTCCATATTTGATTATGTACACAAAATACACTTCAGAGCACCTATTATTTCATCAAAACAGTGAATTATGCTTACAGGATAATCAATTATGTTGCATCTTCGCCCACCTTTACTTTCTGTTTTTTCCTTCTTTTTCTTTACCAGTTCGTTCTTGCCAAATTAGAAAAGACCTTTATAAGAATAATAGGAAAGTTAGTTGCAAATGACTTTATAGAGTTTGATCTTACTTGAACAAATATGTATTCATAAGCTCATGTAGCCAAAGTATTTGAGCACAAAACATGCGTTGTAACTTATCTACTTTGTTCAGCTTGTAAAGAGGCATGCAGCAGAGATTTTCACCTCTGTCATAATCTCTACCATATTCTCATTGTACTCAACTGCTATTGTTGGACGTCTACTTTCTCTAGAACAATCATTAACCGTATCCATTCTACCCAGATGTATAACAGTGGCGTTGGCCGTCAGCATTGTGTCATTTTTTGAAGGTAAACATCATGTTTTGCATGGTCACTCGTCACAGTGAATCTATATTGGAGCTAATGCAATAAATGTAAAGGTTACTTAGTTCTAGTCCTACCATTAATCTTCAAAATTTGTTTGCAGGTGCCAATGCATCATTCACAGCAGCTGCAGTTGTAGTGACTGGTTTAGTTGGTGCAAATTTTGTGCAATCAACACTTGATAAACTCCGTCTTCGTGACCCAATTGCTCGTGGCATAGCAACCGCTTCAAGGTATATTTTGCAATTCCTAGATTTGACTAAGAAACCATAATTTCTGCAGAGTGCAGACCAATCATATGCAATAGTCACAGACAGTGCTTCTGAATAGTAGTTTGGACATTAAAAAATATGATTACTTTAGAAAAAAGCCATTAGAAAAAATGTGATTTCTTCTTGAAGCATATATATACTTATATTTCTTGGTCTTGGATCAATATATACAGTTGTCATGGGCTTGGAACAGCAGCTTTATCTGCTAAGGAACCTGAGGCTCTTCCATTTTGTGCCATTGCTTATGCTCTGAATGGGATATTTGG